GTGCAGAGGAGCTGTGTTCTGCTTTTCTCCCTGGACTCACAAAATAGAAACACTCAACACTTGAGGAGAAAAATTGTAATAGAAGAGAGATCCAAGCTGCATGTTATATACCATCCAAAGCAAAAATAGGGACTATATTAAGAGAAGAGAATCTGCTAGCAATGCTAAGCAAGAATTATAAAAAGAACCCAGTGGAAATATCAGATATTAAAATAAGGTAACTGAAATAAAAGACATATATGATAGAAACGGGTAAATAAGCAGAAGAATGAATTGGTAAGTTGGAGACAAACTTAAGAGAATTTTCCTAAAGAAGAGTAGGAAAAGACAAAGAGACATAGAAAGCTAAGGTGTAAGAAGTTACCAACCTCCAGCTAACAGAAGTCTCCAAAGAAAAACCCCAAACAAAACAAACAAATAACCCAGACAAAAGGCAACAGGAAGCATGTGAAAAAGAGATAAAGCTAATTTCCCCAGAATGAAGGAACTTGGGAGGTTTTCATTTAAATGGGCCTGCAGCATACCCCACAGAGAGGAAAAGAAAAACCTGCCCCTAGACATACAGAAAAATAAAACGTTAAGAGCGTCACAAAAAGTCTACAACTCTAGAGAAAAAGCAGTTGTCTTGGAGAGGATTAGGTAGCGGATCCCAGATGGCTTCCTGCCAAGTACAGGGTGTTATTAACGGATAGAGAAGCTCACTTCTAATTTATAGTCTTATATTCTGGCCACATTCAAATGGGAGGATTTTCCCTCAGAAGGTTTGCCATCAAAAGCGACACTGGAACTACTTTGGAGGAACAGCCTCACCTGTAACACAGACACATGATGAAGAGAGGAGCAGAAAGCAGGTCACCTAGGATCTTGGAAACTTGATTAACCTCCTCCTAGTGGCCCCGATCAGGATGCTTGGTTTTGCTTTCCACAAATCAGTCAGAGGAAAATTCTGTCTGCATTGGAATGGAGAGGGGCGGAAATTCATATAAAGTAGCAGACAAAACAAGGATCCCTTGTTACTCTATTAACGACTGGCCCTTTCACTTAATTACCTGGTGTTATTTCTTCTCCCCTTTTGGAGTGCAGACTAGTACAACCACTGTGGAAATCAGTGTGGAGATTTCTCACAAAACAAAGATTGGAGGTCCCATTCAACCCAACTTTTCCCTTCTGGGTATTTTCCCAGAAGAACTGAAAACATCATTCCACAGTGATATATGTGCACCCATGTTTATAGCAGCACAGTATATAATAGCCAGATCTCAGAAACAACCTAAATGCCCATCAACAGGGATGGATAAAAAAGATGTGGTACACTGTTTATACAATGGAGTACTACTCAGCTATAAAGAATGATAAACAGCACTTTTATAGGTAGATGGATGCACCTTGAGAACATGCTCATTAGTGAAATAAATAAGACACACACATGCAAACATTGTATCCTTTCATTAGTGTGACAAGCTGAAAGAACTATTTATGTGTATGTATATGTATATAAAAATAGTTAAGATTTCTCTGAGTTTGCTAAAGAGACAAATTTGTGCTGGTATTGTTCAGACAATTGAAGGCAGATTTTGTGCTTTGGGTGAATGACTTGGAGATGACAAGGCGCAATGTATGTACCATTGTTACTCCCGATTTTGTTGTAGTTTACTTCTTCTCTTCTTCCTTTCCTTCTATCTGTGAATAAAACAGACTTAAAAGTAAATGAAAAGTGAACAAAAGCACCTTCTTGCCCTGGGAGGGAGAGAGGACCGGCTTGGATGTAGGAACCAGGGCCTCAGAGCATTTTGTGTGGAACGTGCTGAGGCGGTTGGGGCCCAGGAACTGAGGCTGAGGGCCGGGCCGGTGACTCCATCCAGGGGGCTGAACACCGCAGGGGCTGAGCTCCGAGCTTGCGCTGCAGCCACTGCCTCTCCCTCCCTGGTCTGGAGCCTTCCCAGCCCTTCCTCCTCCTCCTCCTTTTCTTCCTCAAAACTAATTTGGTGCACTGTCCCCAGTTCTCAGGCTCAGCCCACCCCGACTTCCTGCCTGGTTTCACGGTGCCCCGCGGTCTCCTATCAGCGCCTGCCACTCTACCCCGCAGTGCCACTTAGTGGATGTTTCTCTCGGGGACCCAGGCTGGCCTCTAGCGATTTGGGCTCACAGTGATCCAACCGTCTGCTCTCAGCCGGGGGCTCCCCATGGTTACTCCCCTCTGCTGTCCTCTCTCCGGCCAGGAGGTGACCGCTTTGCAGAGCCAAAGATGTGCTTAACGGTGCTTTCCCTTTATTTGCAAAACTTCCTGTGCTCCTGCTCTGTTTAGGGCAGCAGACCGCAGCACTGTCCCTGCCCCATAGAAGAGCTGGCCACACAGTGCTTAAAAGCTTTGCATCTGATTGGCTGCAAAGCGATACAGAAACACAGGCAGAAAGCTGGAAAACCAAAGAACAGAAGAGCGGCGTGCGTCACAGTTCCATCATTCAAAAGCAGTACAAGTAGCATTTTAATTGATTTCTTTAGGTAAAAAAGCTAACAGACTTCGCTGTTTCAGAGCAGGTTTTGCTGTGTGGTGAAGTGGGAAGGCTAGCTGTACTGCTGTTCCAAATGCTGAAGCCGTGGATGCGCCATTACTGACTAGGTTGACGCGGTGTGTTGTGTAGCTGTGGCTTCTGACAAAGACGACAGATCAGTCCCTCCGGCCTCAGCATCACGGCTCACCGTTACAGCGCGTCTTCTAGGCTGTCAGAGTCTGCCAGGCTGCTTCTGTGTGTGCAGCTTCTTCCTTTATTTCTTACGATGAGCCTAACGTAAGCCTGCTCTTCCTGCACCACGGTCCGCGCTTGGCCGCTCCCTGAGGCTGCACACTCTCGGTGCAGACCCTTTTCACTTAAAAATTAGTTCATAGAAACAGCTTTCCAGGAGGTGGGTGGCACACAGGGGGCAAACGTTAATTTAGAGGCCTCAGCAGGCAGAGTCTCCCAACACCTCCCAGACAAAGGGCCTTTGTCCGCCGGCTGGAGGCCTGGCCCGCTGGCCTGGCCAGTGCAGGTTTCCCTGTGGCTGCCCACACCCTGGGGACAGGCAGGGACCGCAGAGGCCTAGTCCTTGGCTTCTCTCCCTCCGGGAAGGACTGGAGGCACACGGCCCCTCTTGCTGTCATCTGCCCAGGGCACCCTAGAGCCTTTACCCTTGCAGCTGCCAGTTTTAAAGTGAAATTAAAACTTTTTTGGCTCTTAGAATTGGTTGGCTCAGTGAGAGAAAATGGCCCTGGTGTTCACGGAAGTGAACTGGGGCAGTGTAGAAAGGTTTTGATGAAATGTGTCACTCTGATCACCCAGCAAGGTCAGACTGCCTCACGGAGGCTTCAGACTATGTCACGCTGTCCAGAAGGCCAGCCCAGAGGGCAGACAGCAGGCAGGGTGACCCTGGCCGCTTCTCATGAAAGGCCACACCAGAATCAGTGAAAATAATAGCAGCTTTTTTTTTGTTTATGCTGGGGAACTGATAACCACAACACTCCACATCTGCACCCCCTGGAATGCCACTTTCCTACCCAGAAGCTCCTGTGTTTAAACATCTTTTATTAGTATATGTTTATGACACGGTGAATACATTTATCGCTGGAGAATCCGTGCATACACAGCTGGCCTCTCCCTCTCCTGCATCCCCCAGGCCCCTCTCCACAGCCTGCCCTCCTGCTCTGTGTTGAGACCCCAAAATCACATTTCACAGTGGCGCCTCCTCCTCTTTCTCTGCCTCGGCCCAGCTGCCTGGGCAGGACTGGAAGCCAGACCGGAAGCTGAATCGGGCCGGGGCTTTGCACACGCACCTCAGCTTCCCTTCATAGCCCACTCCATCCCCACAGATCAGTGAGCCCCCCAGGTCCCAGTGCACACAGAGCTGCTGTGCATGCAACCTTGTTTGTTTTGTGCTCTTGGAATCTGGCCTGTCCCCTGACCTCTGCCCCGGAACTCTGTCCCGACCACTTCCCAGTCTGACATTCTGGCTCACAACAAGTGCACTGAGGTTCAGCTCACTTCCAACCCCACCAGCTCTCTCCTCTGGGTGGGAGGGAATGAGCGGTGTGGCCCTGAAATACATAGCAAAGTGCAGATTCCGTCGGGGCCCTGGTGTCTGGGAACTCGAGGAGAACGTGTCAGAAGCACAGGCTTCGGGCCCCAAAGACCTGGGTGCGAGTCCTCCCTCTACTGGCTATGCTGTCTTGCTTCAAGCAGGTGACTCTCCCACTCTGGGCCTCGGTTTCCTACGCTCGGAATAGGGCTGGTCACAGTGCGTATCTCGCAGAACACTGCAAAGATTATGTGGGGTGTACGATGGGAAAGCACCGGGCCTCCAGGTGCAGGGAAGCCCTCTGCGTGCTGGAGTTTAACCCAGAACTGGAGCCCCAGGTGGTCAGCAGACCCCTCCACATTGTGGGCGGCAGGGTTCAACTCACATACTGTGTAAATAAAGATTCCACTAGGAACTATATAGGAGTGAAACTGTAAAGAAATCAGCATTTTAGGGGCTGGGGATTTAGTTCAGCGGCATAAGCGCTTGCCTTGCAAGCAGGTGGTCGTGAGCTCGATTCGGGGGTACAGATAAAAAAAAAAAGAAATCAGCATTTTGATGATTTTCTCAACCTTATGTATTTTTTCTTACATAAGGATCACATTCCTCGTTGGGAGTTGGTACATACACCTAGTGCATCGCACTTCTTTTTAGGATCTTTCCCCTCCCCTCCCCTCCCCTGTCTTCCCCTCCCCTCCTCTCCCTTTCTCTCGCTTCCCCTTTCTTTCCCTCTCTTCCCTCCATCTCTGCCCCGCTTCCCCCTGAGGGCTGAGCCGGGCATGGTGGCGCATACCTGTAATTCTAGCACTTCGCAGGCTGAGGCAGGAGGATCGCTGTGCGTTTGAGGCCAACCTGGGCTACAAAGTGAGTTCAAGACCAACCTGAATGGCATAGTGAGACCCTGTCTCAAAAACCAAACCAAACCAAAACAAAGAAACAGACAAAGAAACAGACAAACCCCAGCCCTGAGGGCTGGTTTGGAGGAAGGCTGGGTTTCGGCTAGGGTTTTCACTCCTGCGCCCAGACCTGCGGCTCCTGCGCCCTGAGCCCGGCAGAGGGCGCTGCGCCCACGCGCGTCCCCAGCTCCCCAGCGCCGGCCGGGAAGTGGGGCCGTGGCACCCAGGCCGGGCGGACGCGAATGGTGACACGTGGCCGAGGTCGGAAGCCGTGAGGTCTGGCGTCAGCGCCCGGTGGAAAACAAAGTGCTTCTGCTGGGCAGGCCGGGTGCGTACGTCTGCCCACCAGGGGTGCCGGGCATTTCCAGGCAGCATGAGTTCATGCGAAATCGCCCGACTGTGTGTGACTCAGATCCGATCTGTCAGCTGGAGTCCGATTGCACCTCTTCTCACTTTGGGCCGTGATTTGGACTTTTCCGGTCATCAATCGTTTCTGTGCTGGCTGAGGACTTTTGAGTGTTTCATGAGCTGGGGCGCTGGGCGAGGGGGGGGGGGACTGACTTAGGACAGATGCGAGGTGGCTTTATGTGTGTGCTGTCCCCACCCTCAGGGGTTCCCTCCAGGGGATGCCCAGAGCTGCAGGTAGCACTGTGCCCCGTAAGTCTTGGGACTGGTATGTGCCTATGCCGTGCTGCTGCTCTATCTCCAGACAGCGACCTCAAGGCCAGCATGGGTTTCTGTTTCTTCTCCACAACTGCATTCATAGAAGATTCTTTTCTTTCCTTTCTTTGAGACAGGGTCTCACTGGGTACTTCAGGTGGGCCTTGAATTCTCTATGTAGCCCAGGCTGGCCTTAAACTCCAGGCCACCCTCCTCCGAAGCCTCCTGAGTGCTGAAGGAAGTGGATCTTAGCAACCTCAGCATGTGAATTCTTTTCCCTTTCCTTATTAAGTGGAGGACCTTTAGCTTACTGCTTAAAAGAAACACCTCCTAGCTGCTCTTTGGCTTGTGCTTTTGGCTTGTTATTAAATAAGATAAGGGCTACTGGGACACAAGCCCTGCACACAGTGAGGCCATCCTAGTAAGCATAACGGCTTCTCAGTGACAACTGGCTGAGTGGTATATACAGTGTGGATACGCTGGACAGAGGGATGCTGCCTGCTCCAGGCCAGACAGCAGAGACAGGGTGAGGTTTCATCACAGCACTGTGAATAGTGTGCAGTTTAGAACTTAGGAATGGTCTAATTCTGGAATTTCCATTCAATGTTTGGGAATATTGTTGACCAGGAGGCTAACTGAAACCACAGAAATCAAAACTGCGGATAAGGGGGCAACTCCTGTGTACTGTTTATGTTTTCAAAAGAAATCTGTGTAGAAATCTAAGAGAAGCATGCCAAACTTTTTTTTTTTTTCCTGGCAGGAAGCCCTGGAGGGGATTTTTCATGGGGGCTGGGATACCTGGACCAGGCATGGGAGCAGGGGTGCAGGTGACTTGTGAGGGGAGCAGCTCCTCTCTTCCTCACCCCTCCTGCTTCCTCCCTGTCCCCTTCTCCTTTCTTCCTTCTCCTCCTCTTCCTCCTCTCTATCCTCTTCCCTTGCTTTTCTCCTGCTTCTAACCTTTTGAAAAATCTTATGAACTGAGTCAATGACAGCAGTTCTGGGTCATCTGTTTTTGAGATTTTGGCTGAATTGGACACTGGGTGACAGAGACAAGGTGCACTTAGAAACTAGAGAAAACCAGCAGAACTGGGAGGGTTGGAGAGGGTGTGAGCAACTGAACTGGAGAAGCCCAGGTAATAACACCCCGGAGAGCAAGTGAACCGGAGGAGACTGGGTAATAACACCCTGGGTTCACACTGGGAGAACCCCTGAAGAGCAGTGTCCTGGGGGTGGGGGAGAAATGTCATCTTCAGGGGCAGCAGCGGGCCTGAGCCTGCCTGGGTCCTGTGAGGGTGACTCTTGCCACTTGTCCCTCTAGTGCCCTGCTCTAGACGTGCCTCTATGCATATTGAAGGGGAATCCGTCCTTTGAAGTCCCCCACACCCATGGCTAGTTCAGGCTAACTGGGCCCCTTGGAATTTTTCTACTGATTTTAATCCTCTTGCTCAGTTTGTGAAATCCCAAATGTCTGTCTCTCAAAAGTTTTCCACTAGAAATCTTTATGCCAGGATGTATTTTGTGTGTGTATGTGTGTCTGTTGATTTAGGTACTTTCTTTTTTGACCTTTAAGGTTTTTACAGAGGGAAAAGTGTTGGTGACAGGATAACGCACAAGGCATCTGGCCTGTGGCCTCTGTTGGGCTTTCTGGTTGTCTTGCTGAGCTTGTGCCTAAGTGGAACCAGAAGAGGGCGGCGGGGCGGGGGGGGGGGTGTTAGTGAGCCACTGGGCACTTCTGAGATGCAAAGACATGAACATCTCAGGTGGGCAGGTGAGCTGGCAAACACACAGGCGAGCCAGCAAACAAACAAAATCCCAAACATTTGTCCAGCCAAGTCTAGGAGACGTAGCTCTGTCCCACTGGACTCTGCCCCACCCCATGACACACAGGAAATGTGGTGGTCTGACATGTGCTTGGTCCTCGTGGATGAGTGCAGTGTCATGAATAATGTTTGGCTTGTGACATAAATCCTACCCCTTTCTCCCTCACTCAGAGGAGTATGCGGAGGCTGAGAAGAATGAAAGCACTCGTGTGTGTGTGTGTGTGTGTGTGTGTGTGTCTTGTGTGACAGAGAAGACAGGTGCTGAAACTTTGCCCAGTGATAGGTTATGATCGCTCCAGGGCATCGGGGCAGTGGGGAACAGTAAGACTTGGAAAGAAAATCACTAGAGTCAGCACACATAGACTCCCACATGTAGGCTGTCACTTTTTAGTATCTGCTCTGTGCCGAATGGCTAGGGCAGAGTCTATCGTGGTGGAGATACTGATACTGAAACCCCCAGAGGGCTTGAGTGGATTCCCAGAGACCATTCATGTCAGAAATGTGACTAAGGTTTTCAAGTCCCAATCCTGTCTTTGAAAATCTGCCTCTCAGCCCTTTGCAGCCACTGGCAAAGACCAGGTTCGGGTCTGAAAAGCGCTTCATTCTCTTTTCAGAGTAACCGAGGTCAGGTGCCTGACTCCTACAAGTCAAGATGCTCTTGGGTGAAGGTCCTAACCCTGGGTGATGCGGTCTGATGAAGTCTACACCCCTGAAGTAAGCAGACGAGAGGCTGCTAGGATGTTGCACTGTCCTCTCTACTTTGAGAGGAGCACAGTGTCAGTCGGACTTTTATCACGTACCTCTCGTCCCTTCTGTGGACTGTTTGCATAATGGAAACTTCCTGTCTGTATCTTCAGCATCTGATTGTCCACTGTTGCTCAAGTGCATGTGGCCATGCTTCACTGACTCATATCTGATGCCTCTGATAGAACCAGTGACTGTGGAATGGAAAGAAGACGGCATGGAAAGCCCAGCGAGTGTCCCACGGGCCTGCCCTGCGGCTTTCTGCTGATTCTTCAGGACAAGTTGCAAGAAGTTTAATTTTCAGAACGAGCAGTTCTGTTCACTTTCCTTATTTGTGCTGCATTGGAAAAAGGACACAGTGTGTGATAAAGCAGAAGGGCACGGGGTGTGGCCAGTGTCCTAGGCCAGCGCTGGCAAACCCACGGCACCTGTGCTTAGCCGGCTGCTTGTCACTGCTGGGAGCTCTGAGAGTTTTGCCATCACTGGGCCATTCTTTGCAAGGGCCCATCAGCCCCACATCTGCGGCCAGCCAAGGCCTGGCGGTGAAACAGCTGAGTCACAACTTTGCTGCTCCTCTACAATTACAAGGTTATCACTTCATCTGACACAGAAGGGGTGTGGGGTGGAGACAAAACACACGTCAGGAAGAAGCGCAGAAGCGCATGGAAAACAGAAAGCTGCTTTCCCAAAACTGTAGCTTAAGTTATAAAACCCAGAGCAATCGTCTCCCCTTTCCACCCCCTACTCAATGGGAGATGAAAACACAAAGTAAATGGCACCATAAATTTCTCGGCCTAGCAACGCATCTTGTAGTTACTGTGCCTCGAGTTCTCGGCAGCTGTGACCGCTCCTGCACGGTGCCGGCTGCCGTATTCCTTCCCTTCTCCCGCTTTGCTGGCGATCTCGCTGTCTCTCAGCACCTTATTCTGAATCACCTTCACTAGGAAGTGTGTTTGCCCCCTGTCTTGTCCTTTAGGGTATTAAAAAGAAGATTGTTGTTCTTAGGCCCTTCCCTGGATATGCCAGCTGTCTGCATGGAGACCCAGCTGACTCCGATTTCTTCCGGGGCAGAGGTAATACCTTGGGATGCATTTTTATCCACCTGCTTCTTCCTTCGCATGGGCCAGCTGCAGTATCAGCAACACCCAGTGTCATCTCTAGCCACTGCCAGCCTTATCTCCTCCCAGCTAAGCTAAGCACAAGCCCCCTTCCTTCACCCCATGTGAACGCCACCCCCCCAATAGCCAGGGCATGCACACTAATTAAATTTTATATTCCACCTCTACCCAAACATGACCTTGCCGAAGTCTCTCCCATTAGATGACAAATCCTGGTGTTTCTATTGCACGGTTGCTATTTGCCACATGCTTCCTGGATGGGTTTCCAGGTAACCTTAATGGTTGTGTGCTTCTAGGGAAGGAGGGGGAGAAAATAACTCACCTCTTCAGTAAGTGGTTTTAAAAATATAACAGCATTTAAAAGCTTTTAAAGAGCATTTCTTTCCTTCCGGCTGCTCCGGCCCTGTTTGTTTTGTGACAGGCGCACCTGTGGTGCTTGTGAGTTTGGCAGCCTCTGGCTAGGGCAGCAGGCAGTTTGAAAGGACAGAGGATTGATTTTTGTCTTTGTAGGGCTTTCCATGAGGGGTGTGGGAGAGGAATTGCTTGGGGAAGTGCTGGTCAGGGAGGGGTACTTCTCCATATGCTCTTCCTTCATGGGTAAGGCTAAGCAGCGTCTGACTCAGCCTGCGGAGCTGTTTGTCCTGGAAGTCCCAAGGAGGTGGCGGAGAGCGGGAAAGCAAGGGTTTGGGGCTCCCACAGCTTTTCTGCCCACTTTCATTTCTCCTAAACTTGCTGGGGAAGTGCACCCAAATTGCTCCTGTGTTTCGATTTGATGTGGCTGCAGAGGGACCGGGCACAGCTGGATTCCATGCTTCAGACTAAGCCTGACCGTCCCATTGGAAACTGGAAGGTTTCGCCTCTTCCAGGGCTTAGGGTTTACTTTCCCCGCAGCATTGAGCAAGGACCTCATGTTTACAGAGATCCCAGGTGTACTGGTTTCTTCCTGTCAGAGCAGAGAGAGGAGGAAGAGGGTCAGGGTGTGGAGGAGATTTCACAACTGTCTTGGGGACATATTGGTGGAGTCGTGAAAATATACTTTAAAAATACTCACAATAAGCCAAATCATTATATCTTCTGTGTATAGTTTTATTTTTTCCAAAGCTATTCGTAGCACCATAAAAAAAAATCCTGTATACTAAATGCTCTCTGAGAAATGTTACTTCTTGTTTATTTCTGGTAAATTTGGTAAGTTTTTGAGTGCTGTTGTGATGCCTTTAGAAGACACACGTGCATAGCTGAAAGGTTTTTGAAATCAAGTGTTTGTATAGTATCAGATGCTACCTACCAGCTCCTGAGTCCCCTCAGGTTTCCCATTTATCTAGTGTTGCCAAGAGCAGAAACATCCCATCGTATACACACAGCAACCGTGCCCACACTCCAGATATCACCCACAGGCTCTTCTGTTACATCTCCTAGGTCCTCAAACAAATACATCAAAGCCCATTTATATAGTGGGCCTCTGGGAGACTTAAATAATTAAAGTGTGCACATATGTCTTTTAGAAGACATGAGAGGCTGGGGCTATACAAGTTTTTACATACGTGTAGAGAGTAACCTATCGACTTGGTGTCCGTTAGCTCTATAAAATGAAGATTCCAATCTTCCACCAAGTGGAGGAATGAAGGCTCAGCTTTAAAGACTCTAAAAGTCCTAGGTTTCAAAGTTTCTTTAATGAATTGGAGTCCTTCAGGGGTGGAACCACAGGATCTAAGCTGTTCATGTTAAGGCAGCTCAAGTCTTGGTGAGCCCCAGATTTCCAGCAGGATTTAACTCTCTGAGTCACATCAACTTTGGATGCAAGTTTCACTGGGAAGCAGGAAGGAACGAATTTGGAGGATTCTGGAAAGCAGCGCCCCAAAAGGCCTTTAGAGTCTCCCCAAATCAAAACTACCTGGATTCGTGTTCTGCTACCCTACCCCACGTAATTTAAAATAAAGACTATTTGAAGCCACAAGATAAATATGGAAAATAGTTTCCGTGATAACTACCAAGTTGATTAAAATATGTGCAGGTTTTCCTTTTTCACTTCTGCCACCCGAAACATGTGCTCAGCCCCTTGCTGGTTACCTTAGCGTATCTAACAAGACAACGTGAGGGCTGCTAGGGAGGTGGCTGTCTGAGAGAATGCAGGTGGCCGCTGTGGATAGCAGGTGGCGAGCCTCTCCAGCTAAGGGTCAGAGGGAAGGGACAGCCCCAGCAAGAGTTTCAGAGTGGATGGGTTTCAAGATGTACAGAACAGTTCCTTTTCAGTGCTGAGGGCTGGGCGACTTGCACGCTGCTCTTCTTCTCAAAGGCTGAAGGCAGACATATTCCACTCAGTAGGAAAACAACCCAGGAGCTAAGTAGGATGAGGAGGCAGACAAGGGTGTCTCATCATCCTTCGCAGTTGAGGAGAGGCCAAGCCAAACCCTCAAAGGTCAGCCAGCTAGGACTTCATCAGACTAGGAGGAGAAGGGAGTTTCAAAGGGCCTTTTGTGGAACACACACAGCTCCGACCCCTGAGATTCAAATCAGGATCTGGAAACTTGTATAGCAACCGCCCGCAAGCACGATGCTTAGAGACCAGCAGGGACCTTCACGCTCCACTTCTCTCCCGTGCTCTTCTTTTTATGAGCACTGAGGTCTCCCTTCTGGTGGGAAAGAGGTCATCAAAACAACAACAAGAAACCAAACTAATTGGAAAGTAACGCAGAATAATCAAAAACTGAAATTATCTACCTATTTGTAGACCCGAAGGAAAAATGTCAGATAATAGTTTTTTGGTTGCATGCTAGTCAACAAACTACATAGGAAATAGTTTTTGAATCTAAGACATCTTTGTTTGTATCATAAATTCATACTGCCTAGTGGTATGGGGAATGTGTTAAAATATATGTATATATTTAGGCATGGGCTTCTAACAGAAGGTCGCTTAGATAGAGGTTAGACAGAGCTAGCTCTTTTCTCTCATATGTATGTGTATGTCTTGACATCCACATATATTACACAATATAATATATCTATGTATATATGTCTCAACATATACACCAAAACTATGAGTAGATTAGCCAGAAACTTGCTAAATTTCAAACATATTTTAAAGTAGATTCTCACTTGGGCTTGAACTCCTGTTTCTTTTGCTAGATCTTACCTTCCTTGCACATTGTAATTTCATTCCTTTCTATCTTCTGGATTATAAATTCCCTTTCGCTTGCTGGCTCTTGCTCTTGCTCTCTGTCTCACAGGAAATCTGTGCTTACTGTTTTGCTCCCGGGTCTCATCGAGTTTTCAGTCAGCACACAGTCCCTGTTTGTTTTCTGTCCTTGGTTTTGCTCGCCCAGCAACTTTCAGGGCTCCGGGCTCTTTGGTCTTGGTGTTTGAAGAGAAGACCACACCCGAGAGCAGAACCTTCCCTGGCTCGAGTCCCAATCTCTAGTTTGTGGTCTTTGGCTGGTCCTTTAGGTCCTCTGAGATCCAACTTTTGTGAGTGTTTACCTCACAGAGTTATTGGGGACATCAAACAAAATATAGACTACCTGGTACCACTCAGATACAAATTACACATTACTGTTAATAAAGTTTCTATTTTATACTAAGACAAAGGAACACCAGTAGTCACTCGCTTGGTATGTTTTATTTTTTATTCTTATTTAATTCACACGCTCCCTTCTTCTATTTCTGTCCATGGTCTTCAGATTTTATACATCTGAAATGATGCTGTCATTATCGAGTCATTACTGAGTCAGCTACTGAGAACATGACTCAGCTGAACCTCAGGAAAAATCATTGCAAGGCCAGCAGGAAGTGACATTATGGAGTCCACATCCGTGGAGGACTGAGAACTTTCCTTCACTGTAAAGTTCTTAATGAAACCCTAAGTCAAACTAGAACTTCTAGGACAAAGAATCAGGGGGACTCGTTGGACCATAAGGAAAGTCTGAGGGATTTACAAAAACTTCACAGGGCAGTTTTGAACCTGCAGGCCTGTACCCTCTAATCGTTCTGGAAGACAAGAATATCATCCTGCCAGCAGCTGGATGAAGCAGGCCCAGCCCACGGTTATGCAATGGCTTGCCTTGCAGTTCTGACAGCTTGCTGACAACAGGTTTTCTCTCCACCCTTTCATTGAAGTATTCTGGTCCAGGATAGTTGAAACTGTCTAGAAGCCTGGGCTCAATTAAATTCCTTAAGCATTGGTCATTATCACCTCGGATGTTCCTATTGTGACTGATATATTTATAAACCAGCAATTCAAGTTCATCTCTGAAACCTATTACAGGGAGTCTTAGTCTTTGGTTTGAACTGTGGTTTCATAGAAGCACTTGGCCTCATCTCACCAAAAACAAAATAGTCAGGATACCAAGGACTGATTATACGAAGAATAATTATCAGACACATTTTTAAAAACATGAAATAAGTGATATTTCACATAGGTGCTTTATTCTTTTGGTGGTTGTGGTGGTGCTGGGGGTTGAACTCAGGGCCTTTGTGCTGAGCCATATCCCCAGCCCTTTTTAATTATTATTTTGAAATAGGGTTTCACTAAATCAATAAGTTGCCCAGCCAGGGCTTGAATTTGCAATTCACCTGCCTCAGCCTCCCACAGTGCTGGGATTATAGGTGTAATGTACCACACCCAGTTAAAATACCTCTTTATTAATATGGTAAATTACTGGAAGGTTTAATAAATATTTTTTTGTACTTTCAAAATAGTCATAAATTTACATTCTGTAATGTCTAAGTTATTGGCAACAACTACTGACTGATAAAGTCACAGGTCACCATTTCCTGATTGAATGAAATGCTAAGTTTCCGTTAAGGCTGGTGAAAATAAATAGATCTTCTCCCCATCTGAACTGGTAGAACTGCCATGCTCTGAAACCCATGCAGGAGGGCATCGCATTTCTCTACCAGGTAGAGAGGGCGTGCCAGGCCCCGAGCTAAGTGCCGTTGCTGAGGTGGCTCCTTTGGTGCTGGCCCAAAGCACAACCTCAGGGATTCAGGACAGCATCACCTGTGCCTTGGTGACCCTATTTCACCTGCCCAGCATCCACAGCTCAGCCCCACGTGGCAGGCTCCTGTCCTGCCGCTTTAGCAGCAAGAAGTGGTGAGAGTGGGACCTAGGGTCAGCGTATGCGGTCCTCGCTCTGTGTTTTTGCGAAGGTGACCTTGTAGCTTACAACAGGCAGTCAAGGTTTGGGAAGACTTGTCACAGTAAGCACTCAGTTACAGGTTGGCAGAGGCCCATGTCCCGATGGGACACAAGAGGGAGAGTGAGAAGAAGTGAGAAACGTCTGGGCTCCTGCACGAGAGCCAAGGTGGGGCAAAATTTGGCAGAGTTTCATCCCCAGCCCTGGACCTCGGCAGCCACAGGTGTGGTCCGGTGAAGATGCTGGCAGCCACTTTGTCAGCACTGCCCCGAGACACCACATGATAGAACTAAACATAAAATCAATCAGTCTCTCCATCTGTCTGTCTGTCTATCTGTCTGTCTTCCTCCTTCCCTACCTATCCACTGCTTGAGGGAACTAGTTTTATGTAAAGTTCTAAAAAGAGGCAAAGGGACCGAGGATATAGCTTGGCAGCATAATCACCTGCCTGGCAGGTGCAAGGTCCTGAGTTTGATTCCTAGTAACAAAACAAAACAAAACAAAACAAAACAAAACAAAACAAAACAAAACAAAACAGCAAAGGATGGACTGATTTGCAAAACTAGGCAACCACTACATACAATTTATCCAAGAAAACAAAGGAATTCAGTAGACCTTAGAAAAGTGCTTTAACATTTCTGGTGCCATAGTTTTTAATGTAGGTGAAATTTTTTAATAGCTGTGGCTATCAATGTTTTTTATTTTAGTGTGCCTATCTTTCGCAGTGAATCTTAGTGGCATTGGCCACGTTTTATATCCATGTGTGTGTATAAATTTAGAATATGTACTGGGTATTATGTACATACATATTATATATGTATATACATATATTATGTATATACAGTTTGTTTTATAAATCCTCAAACCTGTCCACAGCGGCCATACACACAAAGCTAGATGACCAAGAATTCCTTTGAGAACATGAAGAATGGTCAGCCAAAGCCACGATGTGACATCGGAGGGCTCGTGCTTCCTCTCTTGTCTGTCACTGAGTCATATGCCGGGTATTTCCAGTTAAATGTCCC